CATTCTAGAATGAAAGAGGCATAATTTATATTTATTTCCTAATATTTTATGATGGTTACAAGATCAGTCAAACCTACCAAACCCATACAGAGATTTGTTAATGAAAATAACAGATAAAATATAAAGTATTTTTTAAAAAAAAACATTTGATAACTATCTGGAGATTATAAAGATTTTGCATGTGAAATTTGAAAATTTTGTGATGCATAAAAATATTTTTAATCTTAAAATGAACATTACTTTGCATGTTAGATAGGCAACATGTGAGAAGAAAAAAAAGGCATGAGAAAACATTGCTTAACAAACCTTACGTTTTAATAACAAATTTGATATTTTGCATATGAAAGCATTGCAATGTTTACTGGTAATCTGCTAAATTTCATTAACGTATGCATACTGATTTAAAAGTTGAAGCATGAAAACTATAAGAAGCACAAAATTGTTACGAGGTTCATTCCAGGGACTGAGCCCGTTATGAAAGAGTTAACCTTTTTGCCACATGCAGGTCAAAGTGCACATGCCACAACTTTTTTTTTAGAAAGTTACATTCAAAATTGAATTAAACCACTTTATTGTCATGGCATACGAATAAACTTGGCATCAGATTGTAGGTAATAAATCAGATTTGAATATTATATAAGTTTTATAGGGAAATATATATATATATATAAAAAAACACGTCAATCTCCCCTAGTGTTAGAATTGTGACATTTGTTCTTTAGGTTTTCCCTCTTTAATTTATTTACTGATCCTCTGAGAAATACAAAATTTATCGTAAGTTAATCATAATTACTCAAGCAAAACATAATTTTTATAGACTTCAATTTTATTTTTTATGGAGCCATAAACTAGAAAATCAGGCCCACTTGCCATGCCCACCTGTCATACCTTCTCTTTCACAAATTGCCAATGGTTCTCTCTGACGTTTTATACTATATTATTTATAACCAATAGAAAGCCAAAGTTTTATCTATCATATGACGTATTATATTGTTTTGTTTTCTGTACAGAAGATAGGGTGTATGAAAAGTCTGGTACTATAGGCATTTCAGTATGTCAATGAATTTTGCAGAATGTGTACCACATGCTGTCCATGTAATTAAGAACAACTTTGGATTAATAGCAGGATTAATTTGATCTTCTCATTCTCTGACAACACCATAATCAGTTATGTACCTGAAATTAAGAAAAGCTTCAAATTACCTGTGGTACCAGATTTTTGAACATCTTGTATTGTCTATTTTGCCTTCAGTTTGAAAATTTCTTTGGTGGTAGTCACATCAACAAACTTAACTAAATTTTTATAGGCTTGTATTGCATAGTTAGAAAGCCATGCTTTGTGCATGTTAATATTCTATGCTCTTAGGTACATTATTTAATTAAATAAATATTATTTAGTGTAGCAGTACCATTAATATAAAATAGTAGGCTTAACTTTGCTCGACAATTGAAAGCAAAAAAATTAGGACATGGATAAATGTCATTTTTCTTATTTTTCATTTATATTATTTAATTATTATTATAATGGTAACTAAAATGTAAACATTAGAAATTTATTAAGTTAGGTGAGGTAAAATAATGAAAAAAAAATTCTTCATGATGTATGCTCGAGACCAGCTTATACATTTAGTAATTCATTGCTGATGATTTACGACTGTGGTGGGATTATTATGTAGACACCGGCCAAAGGTCAATAAAACAATAAGATTTAATATAAACAAGTTCTTAATTTTATAGGGAAATATTTATAAAAGTCATTTTCTAGTATAAGAATTGGGACATTTGTTCTATAGCTCTTCCCTCTTCTTTGATTTATATACTGCTCCTCTGTGAAGTACGAAATGTTTTCATAAATTATTCATTATAGTATAGTTATTGTATGGTGGGATGATTAGTTAGGCACAGTTCAAAAGGCAATAAAACAATAAAATAGAAGTAGAAACAGATGTGTACTGTTACAAATTTTAAGCTATTTAGGATAACTGTAATTTCCTGTTACAATTTACAGTCATTCTAGAAAGAAAAAAGGGTAATTTAGATTATTTCATATTTTTTTTTATGATGGTCACAAGGTTGATCAGATTGAGTCCATATAGAGTTAGGATAGAGAAAATAACAAATAACATATAAAGTATTACTGAAAAAAAAATGTTTGAAATTTATTTAGGAGGTACTAGAGATTATTCACATGAAATTTGAGAATTTTCAGATGAAAGAAAGTATTTTTAATCGTAACATGAAAATCAATTTGTACTTGGAGCAGTTAATACTTTGCCTCCATGTATTCAAAAAGTATTTTTTTAGTAAAAATACTTCATTAAAAATGCTGATTTTTTTGTCCACAAAAGACTTGCAATGTTTACTGATACACAAAACATATTAAAAGTTATGGTGTGGAAACTCCGAAGGTTAATTTGGGATCTTGAACTCAATTGAATCTACCAAACTTGTAGCAAGAGAGTTAAAATATGTGTTAGAAATTAGGGATATGACTATGTTTTATCTCTTTCATAACTAGAAATTAATATATATATATGTAAACTTACATCTACTGCATTTAGCTTCAAAATGTGAATTGTTGTAAATTTGCATTAGTCATTGCCTTGGGTTGGGGATTTATACTACTGTGACTTTCATAGTGCTTATACATGCTTGATAATGCATGTGTGTCATTCTTCGTCTGGGGTTTGACCATACAGGGATTGTATAAATAAGTATGAATTGGAGTGAATCTTCACTTGAATATTCATAACTGAAATGATTGCCACTGAATGTAACCTAGGATAGTTGGATACCACTATAGGGCTTTTATTCTGACTAAGCAGTGTAATATAAATATAACCCATATCTTTTATTTGGATGTAAATAGTATTGCAGACTCTTGCTCCAACAGCTATACTGTTCAAAATAAATATTTGAAACTAATAGGCTCAAAATTTGTCAAAAAAAAATCACATGAACTGCAGATATTTTTTTCACATTCCTCTTAGTTTGTCCATTTTGGATTCAAAAGCAGAGGTGTGTAAAAGTAGTATTTCAGATCTGTTTTTTTTATTTTGTAAGGAATGCCCAAAAAGCATTTATCAGTTGAGCTGGACAATCAGTCAAAAATTTTCGGAAAAGCTGTGTTGTAAATATTTGAAAAGTTTACTGTTTAAATGCCAAAAGCTGGCAAAGCATTAGAAACTAATAAGCCTAAAATTTTTGATGAGAACCACATAAACTGCAGACATTTTTTCCTTTTGGTTTCCAATGCTTTACCAGCTTTCAGCATTTAATCCATGACTTTTAAAGAAATTAATACTGTTGTTT